TCTTGGTACATGTATATTACCTGAGCATATTTCATTAGCATTTGATCTCTTGGTATCCTCACATTCGTCATGTGGAGGAAACCGTTGTCCATGCCAAAGTACCCAAACTTTGGTCCAATGTCTCCGACCTTTATTCCTTTAATAACCAGATAATAACTGCTAGTTATAAATAGCTACTGTTACCTGGTAGTGGTCTATGGTCCTCAAGGCTACGTAGCTGCACAATGAACAAATGAATTCCTTCATCTTTTCCTTTGGTTATCAATCTTGCAACAACCACAGCATGTGTGGCTGTATGACCAACTGTATGAATGTATTACAGAATGTCATATATATGCAGAGCCGTAGCAATGAAAAAATGACCAAGGAGGCGGGTATTTTGGCGCGCAAAGCGTGCCGAAAAATTTTGTGTATTTAATTATATTCATAGTGGGTGTGGTCAATTATGATGCCTTATGAAGCGTATTTCAGGCGTGGTCAATTAATTAACTATAATAAACCTTCAAAATGGCGGGCCTGGCTTTGAAAAGTGAAGCAGCCAGTGCCGCCCCGGCCGCTGCCTTTCCTATGGCTCTGATATGCATTATGCATACATACATGTAAGTAGGGTTAGTTTTTTGTTAATTCTTACGTGTTCCAGGCCACCATTTCATTGAAGTAAGCGTTGGGGAATTGAGAACAAATTCCTCGGTCGAGGGGTCATAAGTTGCAGTAGTTTCAAGACCCCTTATAAAGGTTCCTGTAATGAATGAATTAAAATTATGAGTAACACGTTAGTTTTACCATGTCCTAGCTCAGTTTGTGCATAGGCTCCGATAATGCTGTAATTAGAAGCTAATTTTAACCATTTCTCTTTCTGTTCTTCAGTGCATTGACCCTGCAAGTATAAATATAATAACATTTATGAATGTTGCTCTACTGCTCTCTCTCCATTCCTACTTCTATTGTAGGCAGGAACATGGAGTCATGCAGGACTGTTGGAAGATCATCATTTATAGCTCTAAATATAAAATAAATAAAAAACAAAAATAATTAATGTAGTCATGTAGAAACAACAATATTTGCATAATGCAATGACTACTAAAAGTCTAAAACACTAGACAATAAATAAAAACACTTGTACATGCATCTTTAAAGTACTTGAATAATTTATGCAGTGCATGATGACATACGTTCTATAAAAGTAAGCATCAGGTCTTCCCTTGATTTTTCCAGATTTAAGAGCCTCAATATAATGAATGCTCTTTCTCATTGAGGACTCAAAGGCCTCCTCGCGAGACAAAAAGTACTTGTCATCTCTTTTATACACTGGGTCCTCCACTACCAGCTTAACTAAAGAGAATTGGGCAGATATAAT